AGAGCCAGGCTTGGGCCCAGGAGGTCGGCCCGCTGGCTGCAGTGGAAGGGACGGGGGCCCACGCCTTACTCCTCGCCAAGCCCAGGCTTTGGAAGAGACCTGAGCTGCACCTAAAAGAAGGGGATGGAAGGGAATGCGGGGCACGAGGCTCGGACAGGAGTAAATCTAATCAGCACATCTGGGATGGGGTGGGGGGGACCCCTTCCAGGGCCCGGCACTCCCCAGCCGCCTTCTCCGCAGTCCTGGCCCTGGTGTCGGAGCTGGAAAGTCGCTGGGCTTTCCGGGCTGGGGAGGCTGGAGGCGGGTCCTACAGGCCCCCTCCTGGGTGCAGGCCTCCACCCTCAGGGTCCCGAGGTATAAGGCTCGCAGACCCCACAGGGTAAGGATAAACTCCCTGTGCCCACAGGCCGTGCCCGCCCAGTGCCCAGGCTCAGGCACATGCGTTCTTGCCCTGGAGCCGTTGGGCGGTGACCTCAGGTGACAACGTCCTCACCCTTCCCTGACTTTAAAATAAACCAGGCTCCTCAGCAACTCCTGCTTCCAGAGTCAAAAATAAGTGTGGGCGAAGGTGGGGCAGAGGGCGGGTGGCCACGCACCAGAGGGCACACAGGCACCCCCAGGGCAGACCCCTGGAGCCCGGGCACCTGCCTTGGCCAGGGCCTTTCCTGGGGTGGGGGTAGGGGTGGGGGTGGGGGTCCACCTGGCTCAAGACACCAGGATGGCTGCTGCGTCCCTGCACCTGTCAGGGCCAGCTGTCCTTGCCGGACCCGAAACCCTCCCGGGAACCAGGCTGCCGGCTATCTTTAGTGCTGTGCTCAGACCCTGGCCTGCCCAGGAGCACCCTCGGGGGCTCTGCTGGCCCACTGCCTCCCCTGCTGGGCCTGTGAGCACAGAATTCACATGCCTCCCCCTGGGTGTGGCCCTCCCCACTCCTGCAGCCGGGCCTGGGGACGGTGGAGCCCCTGTTTGAGGTGCAGCCCCGGCCCACGTCTCCCACATCCTCTGGAGTTCTCTGGGCAGCGCCCCTGCGAGCCCCCCCAATCCCTGCAGGTGGGCCACGCCTCCCCTGGTTCCTCAGGGTGCCTGTGGTCCCAGCTTCGCTCCGTGTTGCCTGCTACAGCTGCAGTGGAGGCAAGGGTTCAGAGAGGTGCCCCCAGAAACACCCACTCAGCTGCTGTGGCTGCAGACTCCCCACAATGCCCTCATCCCTGCACACCCAGGGCTGCAACTGCTGCCCCCGCTGGGCACCAGGACATCAGCCTCTGACTGGGTGCTAATGGGCACCCCTGGGCCTGGCGTGTGGGAAGACCGGGCTAAGTGCTGGCCCAGCCCACCCAGCCCCGTCTCCTCTGTGAACCCGAGGTGGGCCCCAGCGCCAGGGTTAGGGACCTGCGACCTCTCTGCCTCTAAGGCAGGGAAGTGAGGGCACACGAACTATTTGTGGGGATGCTTGGTGACTGGCCACTGGGTTCACGTGCAAATCTGGAAAAAACACCCTTTTTTCTGGCTCCTGCAGTCCCCCCTAGGCCCTCCACCCACAGGCAGGCTCCGGGAGGTGCACAGGATAGCGGGGCTCCTGGGGAGGGGTTGGCGGGAGGGGCCTGGGAGGCTGGGGGCCCTGCTGGGCGGGGCAGGATGGGGGCATCCGAGTCACTGCTGACTGTCAAGCTCACTCGGCAGTTGTCCGGTCCCTGGGGGGCCCCGAGCCTGTCCTTGTAGGGAGTGACAGGCAGAGTGCGAGCTGTCCTGGGGGAGTGGGCAGGAGCTTAAGACAGACGGCCCGACAGGGAGGGCACAGACCATCGCACCGCGGACCTGGCATGGTGAGTGTGCACAGGGAGGCAGCTGGGCAGGGGTGCGGGGTGCACTCGAGCCCTCTCGAGTGTGACCGTGTGAGGGTGTGCACACCAGGTGAGTGTGTGCACAGGTATTGGCGGCTGGGGGTGGGGGGATCTGTGCCCTGTGGCTGCCCAGTAACAGTCTGGGGCTGGAAGACGGGGGTCTTGGCCGTCGCCGTAGCGGGGTACCCAGAACAAACCCATCTACTGCTGGCCACCTGCACAGTCCACTGGCTCCTTGGACCCCCAGCCGGCTCCTGGCTGGACTGCAGACGGAGCAGGGCCAAGTTCAAGGTGAGCCTTCTCAGGCTCCCATATCACCAGCACCTGAAGCTGCCCAGCCTGTGGACCCAGCCTCGGGCCACCATGGTCCGGTCCGCCCCTCCTCTGCATTCAGTCCCCAAAGGCCTGGCCGGGGCCTCAGCCCGTGTTCTCCTTCAGGCCAGCAGGAAGACCAAGAAGAAGGAGGGGGGGGCCCTCCGGGCGCAGAGGGCGTCCTCCAACGTCTTCTCCAACTTTGAGCAGACGCAGATCCAGGAGTTCAAGGAGGTGAGGCTCTGCTTGTGTAGGAGAGCCGCCCCCCCCCCCCCCCCAGCTCCTGCCCGGGGGCCCCTAAGGGTCCTGAGCAGGTGGCCAGGAGACCCCGTGGGGGCCTTGCCCAGGGCAGTCAGAGTGGGCGCCGGGCCTCATGGACGGCCTCCTTCCAGGCCTTCACACTGATGGATCAGAACCGAGACGGCTTCATCGACAAGGAGGACCTGAAGGACACCTACGCCTCCCTGGGTGGGTGCCGGCAGA